TTGTTCTGTATGAGATTTAAAGGAAAGTAAGCCTATCATGAGTGCCCACTGTTGTTCTTCCTGGTTCAGCAAGCTGTGGTCTGTAGCAGTGAGGTGAGGTGGTCAGTGCCACTACCTGCCCTGCAAGCATCCTGTCATGGTTTAAGGCTGGCACAATGCCAGTGCCCCCATGAAAGTTCGTTCTCCTTGGTTTCTGCTGTGAGATGTGACCAGGAATAAGCAAAGCAGGCCCCCATTAGAAATAAAGAAAACTTTGTTAAGTGAACTACAACTCTAAGTAAAAAGAAACACACAGGGAAAATGAAAACCTTCTGAAAACATTTCTGCCTCCCCCCACCAAATTTCCAATACATCCATCCCCCAAATCACCAGCTCTCGGTCCATCACAACCCTTCAGATAATCAATTCTCAGATCATCAGGAGGAGAGGAGTCCCTTTTGTGCCATAGGCTTCCCCTGGAAACACAGTTGATACCTCTTGTGTTTCCTGTCCGGAGAACATTTGCCATCGTGACCTCTTCCTTCCATGCCCAGTGCTCTCACCACTGCACATGGACCAGAGCTGCTTCTAGGGTTGTCCTTTTAAGGATGCTTTGTCCTGTTCCAAAAAGAGCACAGTCTCACCTTTGGGACACCTGTCCCCCCCCAGATTTCACCCCCTGGGGCCGAGGGGTACCAACACTGAACCCTCTTGGTTCTGTGGCCATTGCCTCCCCCTGGATGCAGTCTCTGTGTCACAAGGAAGATGGTTCTGTCCATGGCTATGCAAGAAAAGTCCAGCTAAAGCCACTCCATCATCTCTTCCCACCTAAGATTCTTTTTACTCTTCTGCATCTTTCACTTGCACGAACCTTCATCATACTTGCCCATTTCTTCCTCTACTTTATCTCTATCTCTCTTCTAGGAAGGTTAATGTTCTGCAAAGTTTTCATTGACAAAAAAAGAGTTAAAAGCTCCCACAAGCAGCTGGACACACCTTCTTGCTGCACACACACACACACACCCCCTTCTTCTCCTTCTTGGCTGTGCTGCACATGTTATCAAGTTTCAAGGTAGCACAGGCACAGGCTGTACTCTCTCTCTCTCTCTCTTGGGGTGGCTGCCCGATGCCTGCTGGTGCTTCTCCCACCCTTCCATCCTCAGGGCCTCTTCACCTCCCCTTTCTGTCCAAGGCCCGGCCTACCTCACCCGGCCGCATGGCTGCCCCTCCGTCGCCCAGCCGCAGCAGCTGGGCCCTGGGCCGGGGCAGGGATCCGAACTCTTTCCCCGACGGAACCCAAGGGGGCTTCCCACAGGCGTGCTCTGCTTTTACCCTCTGTGTTCTCAGAGGCGTATCCATGTCCTCAGTAGCCACACCAGGTGCCAATTTTCAACTTGGCCTGACCACTTCATGTCCCAGAGATTTACTTCCTCTCAAACCACGTCAGACCTCAGAGGGAGAACGTTTGGGCAGGCACACGACATTCACACCCTCAAGCATACCACAGCTAGCAGGCAGGCGAGACATGGGAGCATCTCCTGTATGGGGTTCCAGTGAGGGTTTATTAGGGTCTGGCACTGAAGGGGTCCAGGGACAGAAGTCAGCGGACATTGAAGGGTCCAGGGTACAAATATGCAAAGGAGAGGGAGAAGCAAAGCATCAGGGCCCATCAGCTGAGGGCATAGGTGCACTACAAACAGCAGGAGCCAAAAGGCAGTGCCAGGGTGGACAGGCAGGGTTACATTAACCAATGGGGAAACACTGGGGAGTAGGGAATATTCTAGAACAAGACCACATAGGGGTAAAAGGGGTAGGGGCAGCCAGTGGGGAATACACAACTGGGGTAAGCTGGCATAGTGCTGCAGAGCACTTGGGCAGAAGCCTTCTGTTTCCCCCTCCCCTATGGGGGATGCCTGCAGCCTGTGGTGCATGCCTCCAGGGCATTGGCACTGCCCTTTCCCCAGCAGGTTCACAGGCCTCCACAGTGGTGTAAAAAGGTAACTGTATTATTCTACAAACAAAATCACAGGAATGGATAAATGTCAAAAAGTTTGTTGCATTCAGTCTAGGTCACAAGCTGTCTTTCTTGCATGCCCTTGTGATCTCTTCTTGTCTGGGGAGGTAAAGCAGTATTGTGTGCTATTCCCGGGAAGTATGGTCTTACCCCGGTTGTAAATGAACTCCCCACTCAGAGGTTTGCATTCTGCACAGGAAAACCTAGAGCAAATAATGAGAAAACTGAAACTCTTACAGAGTAGTGGATGTTTGGGAATAAAATCTGACTTTCTGTTTGCATTTATATTTTATAGTTGTTCTAGATGGGGCCAGGGGGGAAAAGTTGATTTATGACACGATTTTAAAAAGTGTGGCAGTTTGTTTAATCAAGAAATGCACTGGGAGGATATTTGACCTTTCAAATCCTCTGTATTTATCTCCATTTTTTCTCTTCCATTTTGTGGACTGGGACTGGAACTGACTTGTTTCTTAGGTTTTATAAGTTTTTATGAGCTGACTTTATGTTTATAAATGAGTCCTGTGAGAACATGCCATAACGATCCCCCAGTAATGGCAGCATTCAGAGAGTTTGTTCAGGAACTCAGCCAACAGACAACCTGATAGTGTTCAGACTGTACCACCCATGTATGTATTTACATACACGTATGGGGCTTCTCTTTTAATAAATGTCAAATAGTAAAACTGTTTCTAAAATTACGTATATTTGCACACACGTGGATCAAGACATTAGATTTTATTTTAAACAAAATATATTTTGGGAAGAAGAGAGGTACAGTCTGATGTCAGTCCCACAAAAAACAGAGTTACATTTGACTTTCCAGCTTCTCGTTATAAAGCAGTTAAAACCAAATGAAAACAAACAAACATAGCTGAACCAAAAAGTACTGCAAAATGCAACAGAAATTTTTTCTCTATTTTAAATCCATTTGAAATTCAGGAATATGCTTTTATTATACGGAAGACTCTAGGTTAAGCAGGTGTTGCCATTCCTTTCTACGCCTGTGTTGGGTCAGAAAAGCTGAAATATGTTCTCCTGAATTGACATTTTATCCAGCAAAAGAAGGAATTAATATTCTTTGATTCTAAATTAATGTTGAATTTCCTCGATTTCAGTATATGTAAAAGAAACTTTAACTTTCTCTTGCTGTGAAATACAACTTAGTATCATATAAAAACGTCTACACTTTTAAAAATATTTGCTGAACTGCTGTTGGGTTACAAACACATAAGTAAATTATGAAAAAGAATGTTAATTCTTACATTATTAGTTTATTTCAATTGAAAAAATAGCCATAATAATAATTAGAAAATATAAATACCTCACTTGTTGGGCCAGATGTCACTTCTTTGAGGCTGGCACATAGAACAGCTTTTTTAGCATCTTAAAATGACACAGCATTTTTGGTTTGGTGTTGATACTCCATCTTTCTTTTAAGAAACAGATTGCTCTAAGTTATTTCCTCAGCTTCAAAAGGGAAAGATGAGTATCACCAACAAGAAAATGTCAGTAATTTATTTTTCATTCAGGGCTTAAAGCATTTAAAGGTTAATTTCAGATAAAAAAATATCATTATTGAACATTTTATACTAGTTTTCTGTAGATTGCCAAATGCTTTGGAGTTGCTAATGTATTAGTGTGGAAAATCTAAATGTAAAATTGCATTCATATGAGGGCTCCCACAGATTTCTAAAGTATGCTGTCCCTTACTAAATTAATTATAGCATTTTTTACTATCTCCAGGCTTTTGTGGAGAAAGCCATGTTCTCACTGTAGGAAATCAAGGGATAAGAGCTGACTGAGAAAAGCTGTGGTTCTGCTTTGTCAAGTCTTTGTGGTAGCCTTTATATTGGTGCTTTATAACAACATGTATTTAGAATAACAGACAATTAAATTATCTTTGCATTAAAGGAGTGTTTCTTTTTGTGCACTAAGTTGCAGTTAGAATAGAAGAATTGAGGGTCACTTTTGAGGGCATGGAAAAAAATGAGTCTTTTGTAGAGAGATTTACAAAATGAGTTTGAGTTATACTTGGAAATTAAGCTAAAATTTGCTCTTGGGGAATGACTATCTGTTATTTAGGCTAGGTAATCAAATAGGTGTGCATGCTCAGTGTATTCTCCCTTGTGCATTGCTTTTAACAGCAAATCATTCCAGAGGGCTGGTTTTGGCCCAGGCAGGCCATCAGGGATGTCACAGAGGTTTTCTTATACATTTTCTATCTAATTTTTGCTGTTTAATCCGTTGTCTGTTCTCAACCGCCACTCAACAATAAAATTATAGAGACACTGAAGACACACCCACACACCAACCTGTACTATGGTTTGGGAAATACAGAAAAGGAAGTCAGATTATCCCATGCTTGCTCTTGTGAAATGAAGGCAGTTGAGTACAGGGGTAGCTCCACCTTGCTGAAAATACAGGGAGAACAGGAGGTCCCGTGTAGGGGAGAATATAGAGGCTTTCCTTCTCCGAATGCCTACAAACATCTCTCACCTCAGAGATGCTTAGCAAGTGTCTGAAGGAAGCAGGGTCGTACACTGAGGCTGTGGATCAGGATTTCTGCTGCAGATCAGCTGGCAAAGGCAAGTACTTACTTGGAGAAAATACTTCTCGATGCACTGTGCTCTTTTCACTTGAGGCTGCAAGTTTTGTTTCCAGATAACACCTCTAGATGAAGTATTCTGTCACTCAAGTTGCAGCAAAAACATCTCCTTTTAGAAAAAGAACTACTGAACACAGCTTTTCTCCCTTTAGAGACTCGGGAGAGTTGAGAATGATAAAAGGATAGTGGTAAGAGACTTTCTTTATGGGAACCAGCAAATATCATGCTTAAATTACTAGTTGTTATAAATTATATATAAGTATATAGCTCCATTTAAATTTATCTCCAAAATGTCAAAAATATGAGGAAGGAAAGGCCATGAGCACTTCTTTCATTCTAATTTGGAAAGCAGCAACAAAAAATATAATGATTTTATCTTTTTTTTCCCCTCCCTTCTCTCAGGTCCGCACCAGTGTCCTACCTGATCACAAGGAACCAAGAGCAGATGTTGGGGTAAGCAATTATTTTCAGTAATTGATTTTTTTTTTTTTTTCCATCTCATTGGCAGGCACAAACACTCAGTGATGAACAGGAGCTGAAAAGCTTTTTATTAGCAAAAGTTTTTGGTTAAATGAATAAAATAATTGCGACAGGAGTGGTGGTCTCATGGACTGATGTAATCCCATTCACATATTTTTGAAAATCTTTTTCAACTGAAGCTATCCTGAGACAAGCACAACCACGTAGAGTCCTTGCTAATATCATACAGGCAGTCTGGATGAGATTGAGAGTCTGGAAGGGCATTGGCCTCAAGAAGCCTGGGCTGTCCCCCTCTGCTCTTAGTGTGCAGGGTGTCAAACATTCTGCACCAGGAGTTGCCTTTGGTTTGTGTTGTCAGAAGTTAAACTGGCAACATACAGAGGACTCATTTTTATGTGTCGATCTACAGAGCATTTGACAAAGGTATTGGGAAGTAATTTTCTGAGAGGGCTAAAACCTTGCAGATAATATGGACTCCTGGCAGGGGTGGGAAAGGTTGGTCCTGCTAGAGCTGAATAAAAGAACCAAGACCACCTGGTGCAGGTGTCAGATCTGTCTGCAAACATGTAAAATACCTGGAGGTTTAAATTTTTTAGCCTAAGGTGTTGACTTTTCTGCCTTACTAGGGCTTCCTTGGCATAGTTTTCAAGACTTCAGCTAGTGTTTGAAAAACCTGTAGCTTGGCAGCAAGTTCAATCTAAGTGAAATAATCAATGTGATTTAGCTTTTCATATAGCTATTATAGAGACTTTTCTCTTTGGCTAGTTGAGATTATTCATCAAACTACTCAAGGCAGGTATCTTAAGATTTATTGTTGTGTCTAGAACACTAGAAAAATTCCAAAGGAACGTTACTCTGCAATTAGCATTACAGCACTAATTTTGTTTAAAGCCTACTTTTGAAGCCTTTCCAAGTGATGTGGGCAAAGTTAAATTGGTTTGTAGACTGCCAGTTCAGGCCCCAGAGTGGACTATTGGTATCTAAATCAGTATAGAAAAAGTATTCTCCAGTTTGATATTAGACCCCTTGAACATTAGCATAACTCTTAATTTGGGTCATGGGATCATTTAAAATTTTATTTCATTTTGCACATAGCTCTGTGTTGTCAAGCAAAGTATTTCTTTTTTTCTAAATAAGCATAAAAATATGAAACAGAGAACTAAGCAGAACATTTTAAGCCAATAAATTCATTCACCTTTAATTTCATGACACAGGAGAAGTAGATCTGACACTCAGACATGTTTAGTGGGTACAATGACCAAAGCTCTTTGACTTTATGAGAGAGCAGTGTAGTTGTCTCTTGGCCCTGGTTGCTTGAGGATTCTGACTTAGGATTCTTAAATATATTTATGGTTCTGTTTTGCTGCAGAAAGAAGCCCCAGGTGACCAAACCTTATATCAGTTTCATTCCAAACACCCCTCTTCCCCTTTCCAAACGGTCAGGTTTCAAATACAAACACCCAAATGTCATGAAATGCCAGAATGAAGGCTGCTGTAGAGACACAGTGCTGTGGAATGCATTCTTAGAGTATGAAGAAGGATATGCTCTTGGAGGAAGATAAATAAAATGTGTGACCACAGAGTTGTAGTGCAGAAACACCCTCATGCTGGGTCATCTAAAGGAAGACAGAACCATTTGTGTGTTCACCCCAGCAAGGCTGTGCATCACCCTGTGTTGCACCTGGATGTCTTTTTTGTAGAAGTGCCTTTCATTTTGGCATTGAAAGCTAACTGTGATCTTTGCTTGTGTGGCTGTATTATTTTTCTTCCTTTCTTCCTGTTCATCACTTCCCAAATCCAATGTTTTTCCAGCCTTCCCTAGACTCTCAATTTGTGTCTTTTTTCCTTTGCTGCTTACGTGCTGCTTAGGAAATGTAAGCCTGTGCCATTGGTGGGAAGAAGCCATACCTCATGACTCAGTTTACTGAACTGCAGACCTGCACTTGGCAGTTTACTAACTGCACTGTTGGTGCTTGCCTAATTTCAGAATTGGTTTTTGAACTGTGCGTTGTATATGGAAGAAAACTTACCTTAGTGTAGAGCTTTATTGTTTGCCTTCAAACACTCAGCATCCTGCTGGCCTTCCTGAAAGAAAGCAGGCTGAAGGGGTTTTTTTAACCAGAGGAAGTTACTCTTCCCAGCAGTGACAAATTCTTTTCTGTTTTCCTTGAAGAGAACATTGCTCTCTGTAGGCAGCCTCTGTTGACTCAGAGCAACTCGATTCTTCTTTCATTTGTGTATCCAAGAATGTATATAATTTAGCCTGGAATTCTAATTTGCCATTCCAACAGTAAACTTAGTGTTATGTAATAAAAACCAAACTTTGTGCCCTTCTTATTGTTTTATTGCTAAAAATTAAACATAATGTCGTGATCTTCTTACAATTTACTTAGAGCAAGTGATATTGTGTTGTATATTTGAAAGATAAATTGATAGAAGATGGCTGTTAGTTTCTTGCCCATTGTTCCCAAGGCAAGAATACTACTGCTGGCCAAGTTGACAAAATGGGATTTCAGCAGGATATGAGCAGAGGTTAAAAAATAGCCAAAGTGCAAAAGAAGATTTAACCCTTTTTTCCTCTTTGTATTTTTTTATGTGTGAAGAGTGATTTTTGTAGAAGAAAAAGACACAGTAGTGTAGCCTAATTTAACTTTAGGCATTCTAGTTGCATTACCACATTTCTCTGCAATTTTAGTGCAGTGAATAGGTTCACCTTACAATGGAAATAGAGGAAAACACTACTTGAAACATTGCCAAGAACTAGAGAAATAAAACATTTCTATTAATAAACTTGTGCTGAACTCAATTTAAGAATGCCTTCCTAGCATATACATTCATATTTTGAATACATGGATGGTAGTGCCAATGGCTTGAGGAAAAACCATAGCAAGAACAACTTTGGTAAAACACTGGAAACTTAGCACTTCTTGTAATCCAGAAATTAGAAAAATAGGAAGAAATAGATGCAAAATGCAAATACTTGTACTGAATGCAAATCTTCCTGTGGCTGCACATCTTACAACCTGTCATTTTGTCAGGTTGTTAGACTGTTCTTAATGGAAAAAAGAAAGGTTCCTGCCCATAAAACCAAAGTTTTTAACAGTTTACTGATAATCATGCTGCACAAAAAAAATTCTAGAGGATTAGTATCAAACTCTTATATAGAAATGCAATATTTTTCTTGGTACCAAAGAAAGATTTTCAAGTGTGAGACCAAAAGCAGTAACAAAACCGAATGAATATGTTATCTTTTCTTTCTGCTTTGATTTCTAGCGAAGCTTCCTGGGCTGTGCAACTTTTAGAGTAGGTGATCTGGTAAAGTCAAAGGAGCAACAGTTGACCCTTACCCTCAGGTAAGTGTTTCCCTCTGTTGTAAATCGTGGTTTTTCTAATTACCAACTTTTGGCATTTCTCATCCAAAGAAAGGCAACAAAGATATAGGGAAGGGTCTGCAGCACTAGAGGAACGGCTGAGGGAGCTGGCAGTGTTTATCCTGGAGAAAAGGAGGCTCAGTGGAGACCCTGTCACCCTCTACAATTAACTGAAGCAAAATACTGTGAAGTGTGGGTTGGTCTCTTCTCCCAAGAGGTAGCAAGTAAGAGGACAAGTGAAAGTGGCCCCAAGTTGAGGCACCAGGTGAGGTTTAGATTGGATATCATGAAAAAAATTCTTCACATGAGGGGCTGTCAAGCACTGGAACAGGCTGCCCAGGGAAGAGGGTGGTCACCATCCCTGGAGCTATTTATGAGACATGTAGATGTGGCCCTGAGGAACGTGGTTAAATGGTGGACTTGGCAGTGCTGGATTTCTGGTTGGACTCAATGCTCTTAAAGGTCTTTTCCAGCCTATACAGTTCTATGATTGCTGTTTGACTGTGTTGTAAACTCCGTGTTCCATCAGGTATATTAGATGACAACTTGAAGTGCTTCTAATTCTGCCATGTACAAATTCAAAATTAAACACCAAAATGAAAGATCAACCCTATAACCTGGAGCTTCCCAGGTGCCAGATTAGAAAAGGTCATTTTATACTATGATAACCTATGGAAGAATTGCAGAGAACTTGGCATAGGGAATATTCATTCAGAGTTTCCTTTAGAAAGGAGCATAAGATTCTCAGTTTTGTTTGGTGTGTGTGGTTTAAAGAATTAGCAATGTACAGGTTTTTTTAAGCATGTTTAAAGAAGGTGGTCCTAATTATTGAAGGTGTCTCCCATGTGAAAATGCTTGTGGTCTCCTAAACTTATTGTTATATACAGCCATACTGAAATTGTAGGGGGGTGTGACATAGAACTCTAATCAGTGACAGAGTACAGAGCTGCAGAAGGGTCAGAGACAATGTTCAAAACCTGGGGCTGGGCTGAGCAGATACATCTTAAAGCTGTGCACTGAAGAGAAAAAAAAAATCATTTATCACCCCTGATACTGTCTTGCATGGCTTAAGAAAAATAAAGATACTAATCAAAACCTTTGAAAGGTGAGGGACAACCTTTTAGACAGTGATTTTCAGAATAAATTCATTGGACTTTATATAGTGCAGGGCTTTTGTTGAGCTGATTTTTGCAAGTACAGTGGAGGCTTATTTGGGACTAGTGGCAAGGTACAGTTAAACTTCACAGAGCTACTGCTCAAACTCCACGTGTTTGCAAAGGCAGCATTTTGGGAGGAAAGAAGCTGTGACTGGGAGAACTGAGACACCAGGATATGTTATGCCTGTGATGTTGTACATGGGTTCTGTGAGAAAGCTGTGTTACATTTGTTACCTTGAGCACAGGAAGACAGCCTTAATTTGGTTTCAGGAACAAAGTGTGACCCATTCAGAGATTTTTAGGAATGGAACCTTCTTGAAGTATTTTGGCACCTGCTTTCCTCTTTCAACAAGATCAGTTGTATATGAGTGTGTCGTTTGCAGGGCAAACTTAACAAAATACTTTGATTTTAATTTCTCCCAAACAGAAAATGCCACGCCTGACAAGAAGGTAACTTTGTCCAACAAAAAAATTCAATTAGATAAAATGTGAACTGACTGTTCCCTATGGGAATCGATGGCTAGGTAAATGAATTCCAGCTTAGTGATTGTAACAATCTATTCTTACAGGAATTCAAGTTGTCTTTGGCTCTTTGGGATAAATTTTGTTTCCCTAACTGACATATTGAAAATTTGATCTGAAAGATTGTCTCCAACAGGTGGCACAGTAATTGACAGAATGGAAAGCTTCAGTTTCAGAGTAAATATTTTGTATCTCAGCCATCCAATTTATAATGAAAAAGTTAAGATGGAAAACTTGTAAGAAATAGACGAAAAATTTGGTTTTAATTAATATTTTTAGTCTTGGTTGTCCTCTTTGTTCAGCTAACACTAAAAGACAAATATACCAATTAAATTAATTTGCAGACACATTAAATGGTAGGGTTTAGTCAGTTGGATATTTTTTCAAGAAAAACATCCTAACCTTTCAAAAGTGGGATTGTTTTCTGATTATGACTGTTGAGCAGCAGAAAGTCAGTAGAAATTATCCACATTTCTTTGATGGCAATTTAACCAGAGCAGTCTACTAATTTAAGCTTGCTTTCCTCTAATCACCCTGCAGTGTTAGTACCTCTCAGGAGGATAGAGGATATATCAAGGGACTTGTCAGAGCATGAAATTCTATTTAATTCCTGTTGATATTCTTTGGATAGGAGTTTATCAGGGCATGCCTGTGATTGAGATACTCCATAGTTAGATTTAAAGTGGAGATTTAAGGGCCCGGAAATAGCTCTGTGGTGTGCCCTGTAAAGATTGGTGTAATTATAGAATCTGCTTAATTTTTAACTGAGTTTCCTTTTTGTTTTCCTTTTTTTTAGTTATGTTTTTCCATTGTCTTTCTGAGGTACAATGTAACAATATAAAAGAGTTTTCAAAGGAACATTCTTGTATTTTTCTGTTGTTTTGTGGCGAGCTGGCATGTGTCTGCAAGTTCTTACTGTTGACACACTGTGCTCTACTTTTCTGTTTTCCTGCCATTGTGCCCTCATAGTGATTAGGGACACAAGTTACAAAACCTCTGCAAAAGATGTTTTTATTTTGATTGTCCTTTCTTCTCCATTGTCCATTCTTCTCCGTTGTTCTTTCTCCTCCAAAGGTGTCCTAAACTGGTGGCTGAATGTTTCTGGTACATCTGTGCACCTGTAGCTAATCATCAAAACACAGAAAGGTTGATTTGTAGAATTACTTCAGCGTACACAACAGATGTTGGCAGAGGAATTTAGTTACTAGAGATTTGGGATTGCAGTTTCCAATATGGAATTTATAAGAAGAGAGATGTTTTCTATAGACTTGCGTGTTTCATTTTGCAGTGATAATGCAATGTCACTTGCTTCCAGCTTTCTCATACAGTTGTGATGATGAATGGCAAAAAATGGGCTGCTGTATGCAACAAAAGCGTTTTTCAGTAGGAGAACATTTCTCAATATTGACTATATGATATAGTGTGTCTGATGAAAAAAATAAAATCATGCATTTTTTTTTCCTTTCTAAATAAGGTATAGGTAGACTGGCTGCTAATTTAGCAATAAAAGCAGATTTTTTTTTTTAGAAGATTTAATTTTTAAGTTTAGAGGATCTTTTACCATGCCTTTCTGTTAAGAACAGCATCATATGCTGGGGTTTTGTTTTGTTTTGTTTTTTCTTAGTTGAGCTCTATGGCTTTTTGCAAAGAGCTAGCAATCAGCACTTCCATTAGCCCCTTTCCCTGTGGTGGTAGTTTGCCTGTTACCAGGAAGGGCCTCTTTAGCTTTGGCAATTTTGATATGATTTTCACTTAGTTACAGGTAAGAAGCAGCAAAGGAAAAAGACAACAGTGCTGTCTTGTGTTCTCTGCAAAAATAAGGTGCATCTGTCTGACATGCTTCTCTTAAGGCACTGACGAAGGTGTGAGCAGGGTCCGTCACTGTCAAACCGGGGTGGTGTCAGTACCGCTCTGATCCTTTGGCCTCTGTGACAAGGAGCTCCATAGCAGTGGAACTAAACAAAGACGGACTAAGAGGGAGGGCATGAATCACACAGATCTCTTGGTTTTACAAGACAGGTGTCTGCTAGGGAAGGCAGAAAAGCCTTCCTTGGAATGGATAATGTAAACCCCCTCCCTCCGAACTATTAGAATTTTGAAATTAAGGGGCTCTCGGGCAAAGATATGGGAATAGGAATAACAGTTCTCTACTAGTGTGCATAGTAAAGCAAACAAACAGCAACAACCTCGGCATCAGCAATAACAGAGCCAGGAACCCGGTGCCGGCCTCCGGCTGCGGCGCGCTCCGCTCCGGGGCAGTTCCGGGCACGGCCGGCAGGGGCGCTGGCGGCTCCCGCTGCGCAGGGCGGGCCGGGGATCCCCGCGGGGCCGCAGGGGGCGCTGTGGCGCAGCCTCAGGGAGGACGCGGCCATGGCGGCTGGGCCCAGACGGGAGGGGATGGAAGAGCGGCTTTGCTCCACCCTAGAACCCGATCTAGGGCAGCCGATCTAGCAGGACTCTCAGAAGCAGCAGGCTGTAACACAGGATGAGCAGAAGTCCCGGGCCAGTGGGTGAGAATGTCTCAAAACTCTACGGCAATAACTGGAACCTGCGGGGTGTCCTGGCAGGGCAGGGGGATGTGGGGCCCAGTAACAGAAATGTTCCTGCTGGGTTGTGGTGGTGGCAGTGAACTCCTTCCCCAAGTCACAGGTCAGACCGTCCTCCCACAAAGCCCAGCAGTGACAGAGAGGCTGCCCCCAACTCCATCTCTTGTTATCTGCCCCCAGTTCCATTTATTTTTATCTGCCCCCATTGTCGCAGTATCTCTGCCCCTCCCCGAACTCCCAAAAACTAAAAGAGTTGCCCCTCCCTGCCCATCTCAACCACGTAGCTCTCAGTGTTTGTTAGCAATTCAATGGAAGAAATTCTACGGGTAATAAGGAAAGAACAGAGAAAACCCAACTCCCAACAACAGATTGTCCGGGAGGTTGTGTCTCTGTATGTCTGTCAGTCATGTACCATACAGACTTCTTTAATCATGTCTCAGTGCTTCAGCTCTTGGACAGTATCTCTTTGTCTAGCTATCTAATTTTATTTGTCATCTTTTCATTAATCTTGGACAGGACTAAACTTTCTTTAAAGAAAGGAGATAAACCTAGCTATTTTTGCCAAAAACTCCTCCTAATTTCCCACCCTCCTAACAGCTTGTAGTTCAGTGGGTCATAAAACATGTAACTGCACTTTGGTAGTAGTAATATTCTCAAAGTTTAACTAACTAGAGAGAATTGGAAAGCTGCACAGTAATTTCTGCAGTCATTTATGTACTTAGTATAACTTCCCTAGCAAATAATGACTACAAAATGTTATATATTTAGCTGCCTTTCCCTAGTAAAATTCAATAGTTATTTGTCTACAACTAGTTGTACTTGGTCTCCCTCCTGAAATTGTTTCTTGGCTGCTTCATGTTGTATCATCCACCTCAGGAAGCTGGTGAACAACAGCTTGACTTTATAAGTCAGGTGAATCTCCAATACAGTTGAGGTGAAATGTGTTCTGACATGAAACTTAATCAACTATACATTGAAATAATGAGAACAGAAGGAACTGAGCATTGCAAAATTTTGGTTTTTTTATCTTAGAATGCAACAGAATTTTATTTACAGTGGACTTGTTTAAAACCAGTATTGATTACTGTAATAGGCTTCACTGTGAATTCACAGATAAACATTTTTCTGTAAGTACAGTACTTTTGTGCTTGGATATATCAAAATATATTATACCAGCAGAGAAATTAATTTTATGACAATCTATAGGTTAGCCTTTGCTAATTGCATTTATTGTGTATTATATACTGGAGAAAGGGGCTGCCTGCCAGACTCAGTCATGCAGTTTGCTTTTCAGGCAGTCATTTTGTATTTATAATTAACATTGCCATGCAGATGTGAAGTCTGCTTCCTTTTTTTCTTTGTGTTATGGAATATTTTTCTTTTTTTTGGATGAAAGGTGTATGGCCGTAGGAACCAATTAGCAGGCCTAAATTTGCATATTCAGCATGTAGTGATGAGACTTGATGAGGTCACTATTGGAGGCACAGGACTGCTGTTCTCAGTCCATCTTGTTCACTTACTTTTCCATCACTAGCTTGTTACCTTTTTTCTCTCTGGATGCCTTGGTCAACATTTTATGGCCAGAAGTAGTAAGGTGGGCACAAATTCCTGCTGCTCATGGTGTTACTGGCTATCTCCTTCCCTCACATTTGAGGGAACTAATACTGACCTGGGGATCCTTCAGGACTTGGGATAGTAGAGAAATCTATTTCAAATGCAGGTGCTCTGCTGGCAGGTATCAGATGATTGCTGATCCTTGTGCCAGGGTGCTAAAAAATAGCAGCAAATTTCCAGCTCCATGAGCCAGGTGGATTTTGTCCCATGTATGGGCTTCTTATGTTGATAGTGATTTTATTCTCTTGGCAATATCCCCCATCCCCACTCACCCTAAGTAGGTTGTCAAGGTGCAGTCTTTGTTTTGTGGGGATATAGTGTCTCCTCACTCATCACTGAAAGCAGTTTGATGCAGGGTCATCTTCACTGCACCATTTGAGTGCAGAGTGTCCTTCTCAGCTTTATTGAACTACAGCAAATAAGCTGATCTCATTCTAATGCATTATGAATGTCCTAAAACAAATTAATTCTTTATCTGATGCTGTGTTAAATGGTGTGTATATGTGAGATTTTTTACATCTCTGCAGGCAAAGGACATGAAGTGTGTACATAACGTGTGTGTGTGTGTGCTCAATACTGTTAGTGCAAAGTAAAATTATACAGGGTTTTATCCTACCAAAGTATGATCACTAAGCTTTTCTTATTTTTCCCACTGCATCACTTCTGTTTCCCTTTTTAAATTTTCTTTCAAATGAAATTTTAATCTCATGATATTGCTGGAAAGTTTGAAATGCATGTTTTCAAGTAGCTGAACACTGAACTACTTGAAAATGCATGTTTTCAAGTAGTCAAGCACTGCTGGTGTTTTAAAATCACATTCTGACACTGCTCACAGCAGTTTTGCCCTGGGCATTTATAGAGCTCTTTGTTGATTTGTATGCCTGTAGCATTCAGAAGAAACTTTGGTTTTGGGATTTGTTGGTTTTGTTGTTGTTGGCTTTTTTGTTAAATTGTGTCTTCATATTTCTGTGTGGGGAGATGAGAACTGGAGAAGGAAGTGCAGCTACAATGCAAAGAGTCCCACTGTTTAGTTTTATTGTGTTGCATTACCTTCTCTAACAGGTAACACATGTAACAGATTGTAATATTAAATATGTATTAGACCAGAACAGGAGTGAATCTGAGAAGAAAATAATAATAAAAAAAAAATATAAAAGTGAAATTAGATCAATCACTGTTTTTAAACCCATACAAAATACATATTGCTCCTCGTGCAGGCAAACAGTGCTGTGCTCACTGTCATACTGAGGCCAAGCTTTTAATAATAGCACCAAGGGAAATATTGAGGATTCTAAAGAACAAGAGACAAGGAAGAAAGTGTAGTTAGCATTTCCATTTTACTGGAGCAACAGGCCTTACTGGCTTGGATCAGTTTATTTGCTTGACACTTTGATCAGAATACCTTAAGCTGCTGAAAAATGTTCAGTCTTATAACCACACACTTTGGTTTTTAAAGATATGTGATTTGCTGACATCTGCTGTATTCCCTTTCTGCTTGGGAATGCTGCAGTGCTTTTGTTGACAGAGCCCAGTTTGGGTGCTGGTTTGACACAAGGAGAAGAGAAGTCAAACCACAAGGCTGTAGCAACTCAGGGGAAAGTTCTTCATTCAGAAGGCCCTTTCAAAATTATTGCATATTTCTGCTCATAAGCACAATTTGGACACTGAACCCTTACTACTTTTCTTCTGGGTACTTTTTAAATTAATATAGGCTTCTTCAATTGCAAAACTATCTGAAACTGGTTCATTTTTAATAGTCTCTTTATTGTCAGTAATTAATTTGGCTTAGAGCAGATGAAGTTTTTCACATGTATAATATGAAGAATTATGTTTATTTTGCAAGGTTTTACAGAAGACCAGATTTGTATAGTTGCAGGATGAGTGTATTCTACTGAGTGCATAGTAAAGCCTAATGGTTTTCAAGGAAAATAATTATTTCATTTGAAAGCTTGGGGGTGACTATTTTTTGAGATTCTACTGTAGGAGTTGAACTTGTTTACTCTAATGGGTCCCTTTCAACTCAGCATATTCAATAATTCTGTGGTTATATGATTTTATGACATTTAACTTTTCTATGTATTCTTTTTTCCTGATTCATCACTCTACATTTCCACTGCTCAGAAAATACACAGTATTGCCTCACACATATTTGTTTTGATTCTCCTTCCTCGCTGTGTTTTTGTAATTGTGCTGAACTTAGTCTCATCATTTCCTTTTTGCCTATTTTTGCTTGGTGCCATTTGCTACCCTTTCCTCATTATTATGAAACTATCAGTTACTCTTCTTTCCTTCCTCTCCAAAAAAAAATCTAGCTGTTCAGAATAAGCCAGGGGAGATCAACTTGGTGCTGTGCTGCCAGTGCAAGCTGAAAAAGCATTTGGTATCTTTCAGGAGTTTAAACCCTTGTTTCTTCCAAAAGGTAGTCAACAATGCTCTTCTCTTGGTGATGTACATCTAAATTGTTATTTGTTTTTGATTAATTGAAAGTAAACTATTGATGGGGATGATAATAAAGGAATTCACCTGTAACTATACTATCATTCCCATATAGTTCAAGCAATGGGATGGATTCTGAATAATTTCTCTGTGGATGGATTACAAAGGGAAACGTGATACTCAGATCAGTTTCCCTGTTTTGGTTTGCAGGGATTTTATTAATACACCGTGTCCTTTCTTTGCAGATTGTTAGGAAACAAAGCCATGTACTCTGCATTGGGATTGCAGGCCCTAAGTGGAATATTGGTGCAGTGTCACAGCCCTTTATCCAATGGTCCACAAAGAGGATAAGGTCTAGAATGAAAACTTGGCAGTGTTCATGGATTCATGCACCATTTATAGCACTTACCTGTCCTCAGTTTTGTGATGAAAACTTTGATTGTCCTGAAGAAGTTGCCTCATTGTTATTAACATTTGGTTTGTGATGGTAAATAACCAGCTCAGTAGCAGTGACTGCACTTTACAGAATGGAGAGGGCACTAAATATTTACTGATGTTATTCTAATTGAAAGAATTTGATGCTGCAAGTGACCCAGTGTCATGGGTTGGTTTTTTTTTCCAGAACATCTGATGGTGGAAAGACAGTTGGTACCATTGAAGTCAATCTTATGAAGATGGGAGAGCTAGATGAGGGGGAAACAGACCACATCACAGCAGATACTCAGGATCAAAAGGTAGAAACTCAGTTTATTGCACAAACTTAATTAGAATGATCTGTTGTGCCAGATGTCTAAAATACTAATTACCAAATTGGGTTATGAACTTAAAACAAAATTTCTGGACAAAGTACTGTGTAAACTTATCTCCCTCAACAAAAAAAACCCAAACTCATGAAAATGATGTACAGAGTAATATTCTAACCTGAGTTTCCTAGGCCCTTTCCTTCTTGAAGAAAAAAATAGCTTATTTTTATCTCAGCTGAATATATTTGATCACTTCTGATAAAAACTGTCCAGAGAGATGCCATAAATACAGCTTCTTTTTCCCTTGGATAGTTGCTCTGGTTTCTGCCCTTGAAGTCCTGTTTATGTTGATTTTTATGTGCAATCTGTGCCCCCAATACTGAAAAGCTGGGAAGAATGATAGGCAAAGCAAAGAAGAGGTAAATTCCCTTGCAAAGGGGCAGGTTCATCATCTGCATTAAATGGGAGCACTTTTTGCAGCCCTAACACGACAGTTTACTGCTTAACACTATGGTGTGTTCTGTTCTTCCTGAGTAAAAGGAAATATTGCTACAGGCAATGCAGAATTTTTTTTGTTTGGAACTTACATATAAGACTATTTTTTGAGCAGAGGACATTATTTTCAATATCTTTTCTGCATAGCAAAATCAATCTGCTTTTCTGTCAAATTCTGAGGGTAAATTTCACACTTTTTTTTCACTGCATTGAACTTCAGTGCCTTTTTACAACAGTAGATGAGTGTGACCAGTTCCAAAAAGCCAACAAATGCTGTGAAATCTTCCTGATTTCACAAAGCTGTGCTGTAAAACTTGCACAATGTAGGCAACATGAGCTGTTTTTTCAGCCTTCTCTTTTATTTTGCTTTTCTTCCAGTGCAAAATGTGGAATGAGACTCCTTGCAGTTATTGGAGATGTAGTTAATGAGCTCTGTTGGGCCTGGGGGACACAGAAGGCTTTAATAGCATCTTCCTAGGGGTTTCTAATACTTGTAAAGAGAGACCAGACTCATGACCAATGTATTTTCTGTGGTCTTTAAAGGAGTCCTTGGTTTGTACAAATCAGTTGCAACACAGTCTTGGTTTATATGTTGATAGTGAGGATGCAATTGTGAGAATGATGAGTCATTGAATTAATAAAAAATAAATAAGTTTTGAACTGGGTTTGCTCAGTTTTAGATGAACTACGTGCAGGAATTGCTCACACAAGAGGAAGGTGATGGTTAAATTCATTTTCAGATATCACCTGGTAGAGAATACATCATGTGCTGCTCTCTGCCTCATGTTCTCCACTGAGCTTCTGGGAGCTGGGGAAGCCCTAGGAACAGAGCTCCCTATGATCTTTAGAGACTCCCATTTGTTTTCTGGATGGGGGTAGGAGCAGCATTACAAATATTATGTGCAGGGCTACACTGCTTGATTTTTCCATGAACTTTTTGTACTTTTATGCACTAATCTTATCAAAGTAATATTCCAATTCACTTATATAACAAATTACTTGAATCACAAAATCTGAGCACATTTTAAGGACTTTTTTGTGCTTCCTGCTTTTCCCTTGTTTAAAAATTAATGAAGTGTGTTCTTGCACTGGGCATGTGAAAACTGCTTTGTCTAAAGAAACCTCTTTGAAAGCACAGAACTTGTCAAAAATGGTTTTAAACTAAAGTGCCTTATTTTTATAATAAAGTAAGTAAATAAATAATAATATTTTTATTGTTAAACTAAACTATTACTATCTTTCAACATTTCTGCCATAATACTGGTAGGAAACATTTCTGTTTTCTTATGGAACATCTGATCATATTTTTTCATTTTGTTGGCTGTAATTCTGATTGTGTTACAGTATCTTGGAACAGAAATATAAAGATAAAAATGTAAACTATAAGTAAGGCTTTGGAAGTTTATATTATTATCACCCATGGTTTTCAGCCTACCTTTTATAAACTGCCATGGATTTATCTCAGGCCCCCTGAATGTGTCACATTTGTGGTTGTATTTCTTTTGCAGTGTGCACTGGTTCGTGAGTGTACAGCCACTGAAGGCATAAGTGGGAAAGACAACCTGCCTTCCCTAAATGCAGGTAAGAATTCCAATATCTGTAAGAGACAGCTCTGGCAACTCTACGGCTGGTCCTGAAGAAATCACACAGATTTGTGTCAGAGCTCATAAATGTCTCTTCAAATGCTGCAGAGATGTTTAAGTTCAATATTTTAGTGTTTTATACATGTTTGGCGTTATCATTGCACTGAGAGATTTGAATAAATGGGTGTCAATTACGCTCTCTGAAGCAGTGCTGAAATCTCCATCTCCTGCATCTTTACTGTTCAGTGATTTTCAGTGACTGAAAATCAGACTGTCAGTGACTTCCATGGGCATGGAATTAACACCATGAGCTTCTGTCATGTCATTGCATGGCATTCTGACAAATAATTATGCATTATTTGCAAGTGAATACCCAGGACAATCAATCTCTCTCATAACAGATGAAGTGGCAGTTTCAGATTGATCTGGAAACTATCTGTCCTAGAATGAAGGGAGCTGTTGGCAAGGCATTCTCAATTCTAGGTCAGCTTGGGCTTGAGTGCATGGTGTTAAACTAGATCTGTTTTTCTTTCATTATGCTGAGAAATGTTACATGCTGATATGCTGCGCCATAAAACTTTTATTAGCCTGAGTTTATGAATCTCTATTACCCTGCAATAACAATGTCACAAATAAGTTATGTGGGTCATCTAAAACCACAGCACTGTCAAGAATTCTGTGTTTGCTACATACAGTTGAGGTTGAGGAATGTTACCAAACTTTTACAACTTTTTAAAATCTTTCCTGAAACTTTTTCATCTGACTTCTCTGATATGGCAGACTTTCTGAATCAGCTTTGCAGTCTGAAGGAAGCACTAAAAACTGCCAAAAATTAGGTTCTTCCATATATATGTGAATACTGTATTTTTTTTCTGTGAGCTGTTGAGATTAGATCAGAATCAGAAAAAGTATGTTCTAGAGAAATACCATCTATTTTCATCAATTCAAAGTGAGAAAGATGTTAATTGAGAATTTCTGAATGTGCTGGAACTACCTCTGGCTCCAGAAATTCCTGAACTGGAAATAGCTGGGGGCACGGAGGGTATCTTGTGTCTCCAGGTATATATTTATGGCTTTCCTTGGACACAAGGTACAGGGGCCAGTGGAAGGATTTGATCTAACCCAGTGCAGTTCTTTGATTCTGATTCTGTACGTCATCCAGATGAGTGAGACTTGAAGAAATGACATTTCTGTCAGAGGACGATACTGATTCACAACTGATTTTTTTTTATTTGTTGCCTCCGTTGTATAGGTTTGATTGGGGTTTTTTGTTGACTTCTTTTGTGTAGAAAAATGCTGTAGGTTGTGCATGTGTTTTGTTGGAACTTCCAAGGTCAGTTTTGGTAATATTGACGTCTCAATCAATTTGTCAAGAATATATCCATGTGATTCTCTAGTGTATCTAGACAGCGTTTTCACATTTTTTACTGTCATATACAAACACAATATAAAACCAAAGCCCACCCAACACTACTAGGGTTTATAAAGTCAAACATGTCATGAAGAGCTTTTTTTTTTTTTGTAATTTTTTGGGTTGTCAGGCTTTTTTTAAAGAATTGAGGGGAAAGAGGTGCATATGCAAGAAATGACAGCATGCAGGATATTGGAAAGAGTTTGCACTCACAGGAAGTTTTTTTCGGATAAATAATTAGTCTTCAGTCTGTTTCCTGTATTTGTGACTTTCTCTGCTCATGCAGCATCACCTCCACTTTCCTGCTGACACCAGGCACTGATTCCAGGTTTTGTCAGTCCTACCCTTTTTATTGAATTCCTCATTTCTTTTCTTAGAAAAATTTTAGCTCTCCTTTTATACTGTCAGCCTCTTTCCCCAACCCATCAGCCTTCTTGCCCAGCATACCTCCATGACTGGGCTTCCTGTGGATTAAGGCTCTCTGTGTTGCCTGGATACAGACTGGATTTCTCCTATGGATACCTGTGCAGAAGTGTCAGGAAACCTGATAACATCAACAGTGCCTGCACTGCTTTCCCTGCTGTGTTCATACAGAACTACCCCCAGAACAGTATGTTTTCCATGTACATTCATATTTAGTACATGTGTATGCTGTTGTAAAGCTTTCTGGTACTTTCTGTTTCTTTTTGTTTATCAGGCCTTCAAAATGATGAAACTGAAAAAAAAAGCCTCTGTGAATCCTTAAACTTGTAGGTACAGAAGCATGCTGGCATTCTTCTGAAATTTAAATCTTAGGATAGGGAACTCTCAGCCCTCCAGTGAGTTATGAGATGCTTATTGAGTGAGTGGGAATAAGCAATGTATTTCAGAGCCTTATCACTATTCCATCTATACCTCCAGAGATTGAATTTACATCTCAAAATTCAATTATTTATTTATAATGCTGGAGAGTTTGCCAGTTGTTTACATGTAAACTAATTGCATTCTAAATTAAAAGAAATATAATTAAAGTAATTGAAATTAAGCAAAATTAAGAAAGCTGTAATTATTATTCCTGAGGTAGTACACATCATATTCCTATGCTACAAAGAAAGATATAAATAGGAACACAGTTAGCAAATTAATATATGACAGTGATGTGCTTTGATCTATGTTCAATAGGGAATGAAAATAAAACCAGAGTATTCAATCTTTTATTATTTTTTATTGTACTTTCAGGGGAAGCAATGTGAAGGATATTGCATGGAATAAAAAGTACAGAGGTCTTCATATTAAAAAATGAGAATATCCAAAAATATGGATGGGTAAATATATGGCATTGACTTTTAGGCTTGATGCTGTAGAGAGAAGCTTTTAAAACAGAGTTTTCCCTTTTTTAACCACTGCAGTTCATGGGGATTTTGGGTTTTCTTTAATGCCTCTCATGATCACTGTCTAAATACAGGAAGGATTATCTTTATGAAACTTCCACTCATTTTAATCACTACTTTTTATAAAAACCAATTCTAGTCTTACCCTTCTTATTGTACATGCCCTCTAGAATTTGGTTCTAGACAACTTGTTATAGTTAGAAATTAATTATTGTTGCACTTGGAGGGGAAGATACTTGTGAGATTTTCATGGAGTTGTGTGCCTTCAGTAGTTCTGTTTATAAGGAAAACATCAAGTACTACGCAGCTTTTATTGGCGATCTTAAGCTTTAGCAATACTGCATATTGGGATTATTTGGGAAAAATTCCCAGGCTTTTTTTGACTTTGTAAATGCAATTTTCTTAAACCCACGGAGATATGATTTGACCATTTAAAAAAACTTACAACACACTTGCACTTATCCCCATCTGAAAATTCAGACCTGAATCAAAGACCTGAAAATTAAGCTAGTACCTGGAGAGGAGTTTAATAATTCTGGCAACAATAAAAGTCACAACTTTGAATCCATATTTTTAGTGTTCTTTGTCTGCAGTTGTGATGGGTTTTCTGGGGCAGTTGTGATGGGTTTTCTTGGGATTTGTTTTTTCTTTGTGATGGTGGTAACAGTGGGGAGATGGGAGGAAAGAGATTTTTTTCAGGTACATATTTGCATTAGGTTCTCACAGATTAATGTGTATTTTTCAGTGTAGTAGATTCTGAGTGTGAATTTAAGGGCTGCTCTTGGAAAAAATAAACTTGATAAACTCCTTGGGAAGTAGATATAAAAAGGTAAAATAAAGAATCTCTTGTGTCTGGGGCATCATCCTTTAAAATGTCCAGGTAATACACTGATCAGGGGACACAACAGAAAAAAACAATACCAACTCAAAATTATCATCTGGTTTGGCAGTTTTCTGTTTAAGGCCAGACCTGAATTAGCCCTTGGTTTCCTGAGGTCTCCCTGACATTTGAAAATTTGCATTCCCTGCCTTGTTAATGGCAGATGATTGGTGCCATACATCAGCTTTGTGAATTGTCAGAAACTGTTAATATTATTGATGAGACTGGTTTCATTGATGAAAAGAATCTCAGCAGAAGAGAAGGATGGCAGGAAACACGCATTCCCGCATTTAACCAAGTGATGTAATAAAGCCTGAACACTTGGTGAAAGTTGGTCATAGGCACAGGACTTGGAGATGGTTTTTTTTTCTCTAATTAAATCTGTGTGGTGAGAATCCTTGAACTGTAAAAGTGTGTGGAAAAAAATGTTTGAACATTGAGATTTTTTGGGTATTAGTAGTACAGAAAAATTGGTCTTTTTAGTATGTCAGAGAAATTAAGCATCTCTTTCGCTTATTTCACAATACTGAGTGAAAATTTAGTTTTTGAAAGTAAAATCACTAAGAACTAAAGGCAAAATTACTCTAAAAAGGCTTATAAAATGACTGTAAAATGGCAAGAAATGCTTATAACGTACTGTAATTAAGAAATAGTTGGCTTCTGATTGTAAAGGCGTAAATTATAACATCTGTATAATAACCCTTCACAAGAGATGGAAAATAGAATAAAAGTTTTTTAAAACTCAGTTGCTCCATCTCTGGATCAGAAAAGGGCATAATCCAACAATAGTTTTTCATCAAAGACTACTGATGACATACATCTCAGTAGAGTGATGGGAATGTGGAGCAGTAGAACCACTTGAACATTGCTCCTTTCTTTGAGTTGCAAGCAATGGGTTTATTAGCAGTATATTTAAATCTCTGGTCTTCTTTTAGGCCTTTCCTAAAGGATTTTTTGTTAAAAATCCTGATTGCTTACATAGACAAGACAGTTTGGGTACCTTTTATTTTTAATTCTCTATAAATCAGACTACCTAAACATTAATGGTGTCGGGGAGTTTTGAACTGAAATGTCTGTTAGTAGCTGTCACTTGACAGCAGCAGTTTCCCTGCAGCACACATGGGGAATGTATTCCTCTGAGTTACAGACCACTCAGTGGCTGAGCAGTGGGAGCCTGCTGGAAGGCAGCTTTTTCCAGAAGGCTTGACAGAAAGGTAGCAGTGGATTTGGATGGCTGTCCAAACTCATTCCAAGTCAAGATATTGTGGACATGTGTGTTAAATGACAATCGTTTGTCTCCAAGTAAGCTTATCAAACTAGTGAAACAGAACTTTTTCTTCCTCAGCTTTTCCCCTTTTTGATCTTTCTGGAAAATAAGAGCAGGGTAAAAAAAGAAAATAGAAAGATAGGAAGGAGAGAGTAGATGCTATGGCATCGTTTTAAGATCTGAACAGAAATGTAGCCAACACATGAAAACTGTAAAATAAAAAATGTGATGGGTTTTAAACATAATCTTCCAAAATAGAAAGAAATGTGATTTTCTTATGTCACATTGCAATAGAGATCTGAAAACAGTGTATGTAACATATTGACAGGGCTGTTATATTTATTTCTCTGTAGTGGCAGTGTCATGACCACATCAATGATCAAGGTAACTCTAATATGGTCAAAGGTCAAGTTTCCTTTAATGTAGAAGCACACCTTCAATTTGTATTAATGATTTGTGTGTGCATGTCAAGGGGAAGATGCAGCTGAACTCTTGAGTCCTGTGCAATTTATTGGAATTGTGAGTGGTGCTGGCAAGCTATGGTGGTGACTGTATTGAGTTCATTGTTCATTTGTGCTCTCTGTTTTTCCTAACTTCAGCTTAAATGTAAGAAAAGAGAGTCTGATTTACATTCTCACTACTTTGAAGACCTAAATTCAAAAGTTAACCTACTCTGCTGGTAAAATGTGATTTATTGATGTACTAGTAATACTTTGCCCTCCACATGCTGGTATAAAAACGAAATAAAAATTAATTGTTTTGAATAGAATTCTAATGGTTCTAAAATTAATTTTGTAAGCTAGGGGGAAAATAATATAATAATTTTGCAGGTGATTGTCATAAATTTTTGGAGTAATATAACCCCATTAAAGCAATGATATTGTTTTTGCTCTTTGCAGTGTTGAGAAACCCCGTTTGTAAGTTATATAGATTCCCTACTTCTGACAACAAGTGGATGCGGATCCGGGAGCAGATGGCTGAGACTACCCTCTCTTTCCATGTTCCTAAAGAGCTAATAAATCTGCACATAAAGGAGGATATGAGAAGGTAAGGAAGAAGCAGCAATATCAATTATATTTTTCTAACTTGGAATCATGCAAACGAGGAGCTAAAATATATTTATTTGTAGTATGAAATGGGCACTTCACAGCTGCTAAGAATTTACAGCTGGAACTGAACAGAATTGATTGCTCAATAGGACTCCAGTGACCTCATAAGTTCTGAGCAATGAACTGTGCTCAAGTGCAGTCATGACTTTAAATCTGTTACCACCACCATTTGATCAACAATATAAATATTCTGGAGCATTAACATTTTATAAAGGATCAGAAAATGACAGGGGGCTGAGCAACATTGTGCTGTGTTTGGTTATGTGTCTGGCTGGAGTTAATGACATAGACAAACATTATGCAATGAAAAATGACAAGTTTATAGTGAATAAAGGAGCATTGAGGATAAAAATGGCATTCCTTTAGCTAATCTAAATTAGTTGCCCTAAGAAAAGGATTCCAAAGTAATGTTTGTTTGAAACCCTAATGTTTGGCCTTGTAACCCAGAGAGATATCTAAGAATCATTACAATGTGTATGGCCTGAAGAAAAAGGAGAAGAGAGAACACAGGTGTCCCAAAAGCCTTTGAATGTCCAATTTCCCACTGCAGTGATTAAAATGGCAGCCTGTCCTTGAATCCTTGTAAGCTGTGCTGATAAAATTTGGGCAAACACCTTTATTTTAAGTAGTCCAGGGCTACCCTGAAGACAGTGCCTTCTTCTTCCAGTGATAATGGATGATGTAGCAGATATTGCCTCCTTGCTCATGAAAGTTACTTAACACATAGATGGGCATCTGGTCTCATGTAAGAGTAATGCTGTGACCTAGTGTTGCATCCCAAAGCCATCCTGTGCACTTTAGGGCAATTCCTTCCTGTTGTGTCATATCCCAAAACAACCTGTTGTGGTTGTTTGTTCTGCAGTATGAAGCCTCTTTTCCTTTTTTTATTTACCCCATCTGTTGCCTCTGTGTGATGTTTATGTGCCAATAGAACAGCATGTGGGAGACTGGAATCTTGATTTTAATAAAATCAGTGGACTGATACATCCTTATGCATGGTGATGATGGGTTATAAAATTCCTATGAATTGTTATAATAGTTTATTTTATTAATTTTGTGCTGTGTTTAAGCATTTATGGCCTCATCTTGTTTGAGAATACTTATGTGCAAGGTTCTTGTAGTAAGCAATAAAAATAGATTATACTGAGTCTCACAGTTCATGCACTTCCCATATTTTCATTTGCCCCATGGGTAAATGCCTTTTAAATGTTAGAGGATTACTTCAACCACTTTTACTACTACTGCATTATTCTCTTCAAAGGCATAATGCAAGTAATAACCCTTGTTGTTGTATCATATTATAGCATTCACCTCCCTGGATAAACTCATAGTAAAAATTCACCATGGTGGGGTTTTCTCTTCACCAAAATAAAGATCTGAAAAAGAAACAGAAGTAAAAGTTGCATAAAGATTGAGATAAATGCCTCTGATTTTCCTGACTGCCAATGTGGTTGAGCTGTTCAAGGCTAATTGAAAGTGTGGGTGTGAAAGAAGGAGACAAAGTGATTGATACAGTCTGAAGGAGGAGATAAGACTAACCAAAAGGAGCAACAATATCTAGAATACTAGCAGATGGTGGGAATAGGAGCATCTGTTTCATCTATCATCATATAAGAGTGTGGGTTGGAGCTCCAGCTTTGTCTGGGCTTTCTTTTTCAAAATAATTGTGAAGATGTGTGTTCTTGTGGAGTCCTTACACTTGTAATCTAGTAAAACATCTGAGGAGGATGCTACTATAATGGGTGTTGAGCTCACACAAAACATTCACTGCACCATCTCCAGGCTATTCTCTTCTGAAGGATTCTTCCCTGTGTCTTTTTCCCCTCTGTTAGTTTAAAAGGATAAATATTTTTGTCTCAGAAGCCACTTATCATACTCAGCCTGTTTCATTTTTTTTTTATTATGGCTTCAATATAGTTAGGTCTGAAGCAATTACCTATAAAAATATGCAAGTAAGTGTTAATGCTATTCAGTATTCATTAAAAATTGTAGTTTAAATTCCCTTTTCTCACAATCTTAAGATTGATTTTCTCTTGATAAAACTTCAGTATTCTTTGTCAACCAAACCCTTTCATTTACTGACATGATGCTTTGAAATATGTAACCTCTAAGGGTATTTAACTTTGAATTTCAGCATGAAATAATGTTTTTAAAGAAATGCATGAAGTGAAGATTTTTATTCTTCAAGCCTTCCTGGAAGAAATTTTATTAGGAGCTATATGGTAATTTTTATTGTTCTGGTAAAGGTCATACAGTCTGCTTTGCTTGTTTTTATTACAAAATTATTTCTGTTTCCTCTTTGAGGTATTCCAGTGAGTCCTTTCTTCTGTTTTTAATATTTCTTTCCACAAATCTGGTCCAGATATTTTACATGTGTCATGCAAGATTAGCCAAGTGGTTCTTCGAACCTCATGATTATAAAAAAGTCTTAGCTTACAATAATTTTTCAGAAAGTTGATTGCCCTATACAATTCAAGTTGTAGATGCAACCAGTGTAACTGGGTCAGCACAGCAAGAGATTTGGCTGAAAGGAAATTCCACCTATACTTGAATTTGGCCCATGGCATTTGTGATCACAACTCACAAGCAAATTTCAAATATAAATTACTGAACTTAAACCCCCTCTCCAGAGTAAAAAGCACTCATAAAAAGCTTTCTCCTGCATCACAAATGACTGTCCTATCTGATCAACACTAGGCTTTTTTTTTTTTTTTTGGTGCAAATCTATGCAGTCTGTATTTTATTTCTTTCACAGAATGACAGAATTTCTAGGTTGGAAGAGACCTTTAAGATAATGAAATACTTTGAAACAATGGCAACATTCAGACTGTGTGAAAAATACTTTTTTTTTTTTACTTCTTCTTACCACGCAACTTCCATTGAGAAATGGCGCCCCAGTCATTGTTGGCATGTGTTGGGAGTAGGCTTTGATTTTTTTTTGGACATTTGGATGTTGGTATTTACTTGACTTGTTTTTGAGCAGTGGCATTGTGAAAGCGTCGTATTGATAAGAGGTGGTAGCATTTAATGAAAGTGATTTTGGGTAAATTTACAATGACTTTTGAAAATATTTGAACCAACCACATTGAGAGAGGCACTGTTACCATGCTTATCCAGTGAAGGATTTTTCACAAGATTGTTTATTGTAAGTACCTCATTTTCAACACTTAAAAAGTTCCCAAACCTGTCAGTAAGATGTAGCTTGTAGCTCAGATGCATATAAATGCAGTATTTACCTCATTGTGCATCAAAAAGGATATGAAACTTTTCTCTTCTTACTCTCCATCAGTTACTGCATAAAGGCATGCAATTATATGAACATAAGTGTAGCTTGACTTTTGTAAACAGTGTTTAGATGGTTGTCCTCATGAGTCAAGATCAGTTTTAAACCCCATTAATTTATAAACCAAAGGATAAAATATTGTAATGAATGAACATAATTTTCTCTCCTCTTGATTTCACTGTTCACAGCCAATCTCGGAAGATTTGGCCTCTGTGAAAGCCTAAGAGGGGCTATCATAGGTGACTTAAGTAAAATTTTCTGGATTTTACTTTGATTTTGGGTGTTGAAAGTTGTACTGCACGGGAGTGGAGTGACATCACTTGTTTTTTTTTGGTGACAGTTACCTCTAAGGTAACGTTCCCTTGAATTCAGCAGCGCTGTGTGGCAGCAGCTCTGTGGCCACAGGGAGCAGCACATAACTTTCCCAGAAATCCTCCTGGGAAAAGCAGTGATAAGATCAAAGGAAAGAATGATGAGCAAGTCTTATCTTCACCTGCTGCACCTGTTGTTGTGAACATGTGGAATGTGTTTCAGAGATTTGTTTGCCAAAGGGTGGTTTCTTAATTAGCCAGTGGTGATGTGTTTTGGATTGGAGGATCAATTAGGTCCACCTGGATTGTAACTATCCATAAAAGCAATGGGTTTCTTAATAACTTCTTAATAAGTTATTAACTTTTTAATAAGTATAGTTTAATAAAGTGATTGATCAGCCTTCTGTGAATCATGGAGTCAGTGCTAATTATTACCCAGCTGGGAGCTTGTGACAACAGTGCTGAATCTATAAAATGCTAACTTACCTTCTCTATTGGGATTGCCCTCTCAGAGAGGGCTTTTTTTGCAAGATCCACACAGGTTTTAAGGCTCCAGAGAAATCATTCAGTACCAATTAGCAAGGGCTGCTAAGATTCCCAGGTGTTATATTTCTGCACAGCATGCCCTAAGGAAGTCCATATTGATCCAATTAGAGCCTCCCACAACATGGTGAAAGAATGCAAAATTGAAGTGAAAAATTTTGTCACTTCCTGTCACTTAAGGCATTAGGGTGACTAAAAAAGCTTTATACAGTTTTATGATGTTGCTTGTGTCATAGAGATCCTCACTCCGTATTTGGAATTACGCATTCTGATTAATAAATTGTGGCAAAAAAGAAAACAGAAACCCAGAAAACGTTTGAATGGTTGAGTAATTGTTCAATTGATAATGTGATCAATCTTGCCACATCTATGACTCCAAGCTGAAAGAAGGAAATAAAGTTTTAAATGTAAACTGTGAAAATAAAATGGTTTTGCTCATATCATGCAACAGAAGCAATATTGTCTAAAGCTGATTCCACTGTATTTTGGTGAAGCAATCAAAATAGAAAAATAACCAAAAAAAACCACCCTAAAACAATTCTAGACCCTACTGCTAATTACTAAAATATAATTTAGGTTAAAAGTGTAAATTCCACAGATGTCATTCTAAGTATTGCTGAATTCAAGACTCTGCAATTGACTGATGCTGGAGAATGATCCTCTGCTATTAAATGCAAATCATACAATTAAGTCCAAATGATCATGCTCTTTGAAGATACTGAGGTTTTGAAAGATAAACCCTAGTAATAAAATATCCAAGGAAGGGAGAGAGTTCAGTAGGGAAAGAATTTCAAGCAGGAA